CTCTTTCTTTTTTTACTCTCTTCTACTTGAATAACAATTATATATATATATTTTAAATTTAAAAAATATGGTTCTAGAGTTTTCGATATACACTTTCAACTAATCCAAGTCCCTTTTCAAATAACGTTATAGTGCTTCATAGTGACCCTCCTTTATAACAGAATATTCCCAAGTTTTTGCCCCTGTCCCTACCAATATTGCTGTCTTTCATTTCACATACCTGTAAACTGCTATCACTTGATACATTGTTGCGATTATTCCTTTGACTATACTGTTATATTAGATCAATTAAGAAATGGGAAGATTTTATTTTACTGCACTTAATCTTCTCAGATGCACTTTCTTTCTTTATGTAGAACCAAGTTCCTAAATTTCTGACCTATCTCTTTGTCTTCTTTTAAAATAACTTATTTTTAACTTTTGTTTTAAGTGTGGGGTACAAATTCAGGTATGTTACATAGGTCAACTTGTGTCATGGGGGCTTAATGTACAGATTATTTCACCACCCATGTATTGACTCTACTGCCCATTAGTGGGTTTTCCTAATCATCTCACTACTTCCAACCTCCACCCTCCCAAAGGCTCTAGTATGTGTCGTTCTCCTCTATGTGTCCATGTGTTCTCATCATTTAGTTCCTATTTATAAGTGAAGATATGCTGTATTTGGTTTCCTGTTCCTCTGTTGGTTTGCTAGGGATAATTACCACCAGCACCGTTAGGCCCTTGCAAAGGACATGATCATGTGAAAGAACTTCTTTCAATATTTTTTGCAAGGCAGGTCTACTGGGAACACATTTCCTCCATTTTTCTTTATCTGAGAGTCTTCTTTTCACTTCTATTTTTGAACAAAAATTTCACTGGATAAACATTTCTATGTTGCTGAGTATTTTCTTTCAATACTTTTAAGTTTCACTCTGCTGTCTTCTGGTTTTCATGGTTTCGAAGGAAAGTTTGATGTAATTTGTATCTGTGTTCCTAAACATATTATCCTATATGGAATCTTGGAATAGTACATGAATGTCAGGGAAATATTAAGAAAACATGAATAATTATGGTTTAAGTTAATAAAATGCATCAATATTAGTTAATTAATTCTGGCAAATGTAACATCCCAGGTAAGATGTTAATAATAAACTGGGTGTAAGGTATATAATTTCTATTTCTCTCTGTAATAGCTTCAAAAATTTCTGTAAATCTAAAACTAAATAAAATGTTTGACAAGTTTTTTTTTTTATTAATTGACCATAAACATGTGGATGTATTTCTGGACTCTGTTTTGTTTTATCTAACTACTTGTCTGACTTTATCCCAATGTCATGCTCTCTTGATCACTGCTGTTTCATAGTGTCTTAAAGGCAGTTGCCATATATCCTGATATTCTTCAAGATTGTTTTGGTTAATTTGGCTTTAGCATTTTAATTAGATGTTTAAATCAACTTGTAAAATCATGTTTTGAAACAGATTACTGGAATTATAATTAGGTTTAAGTTGAAGGTATGGAACAATTTGGGAGAACTGATATTTTAGTGAAATTGAGTCTCGTGAATATTGTGTATCTATCAATTTATTTAGGTCTTCTTCAACTGATCTCAGTAATATTCTGTGGTTTTTAGTGCAGTGGTATTTTAATACTTTTATTAATTTAATTCCTAAGTAGTTCATGATTTTCGATGCTAATATGAATAGATTTTTAACTTATTTTCAAATTATTTGCAACTATCCTATAGAAAGCGAATTGATTTTGTAAATTGACTTTATTTTGCAAACTTGCTAAATTTAATTAGGAATCAGAGTAGTTGCTTTGTAAATTCCTTAGCATTTTGTAAATAGAAAAATCATATGATTTGTAAATAAAGAATTTTCTTTTTCCTTCCATCTTTATGCTTTAATAAATTGTTCTTGCCTAATTATACTGGCTAGTACAAACTTAATTATATTAAATACTCAGATGGGAACAGACATCCTTGACTTTTTCCCCACCATTTGAGGGAAGTGGTTTAATGTTGTACCATTAACTATTGTTTTGTAGTGAATTAGCTGCATCTCTTTCAGTAGAAACTACAGCTAGTATGGTGTATCTTCACAACAATGATAAGTCTGTCTTCTTTCCAGTAGCTCCTTCCTTCTATTATGCCTTTTAGTTAGGGGTGGTTTTAATTTCCTGTTGCTAGCAGAAAACTAGCAACAGAGTTGCTAGTTTTGGGCAGGCAGGGTTAGGTAAAATGAAGGGTTAGATAAAATGAAGAGGAATGGTTTAAAATTAAAACCATTCCTGTTCATTGTACCTAACTCTGCCTGCCCAAAGTTTTGTAAATAACTTATTCATTACACTTCTTCAATTAACTTTTTGAGTATGCTATCTCAAAAGGTACCAAGATCCTGACTGATACAAGCATAATATAAAAACACAAGTTTCAATTTCTTATTCAGGAGTAATTTTGCTCTAGACGTAACAACTTGTAGTTTGATTAAGAGGACTTATTGTAAGGTCTATTCTCTGTAAGGTTTATTGCCGAGTTTAAAATGAGGAAACTGAGGCCTGCATGAGAACAATTAGACGCCAATAATCAGCTCCCGGGCGAGGTTCTATGGTCCAGGGAAAAGGGGCCAGAGAAGTTGCACCTGACTCCTCTCAGGCATGGGGTTATATACGGAGGGAAGGCGTTATGATTGGCTGTGGAGAAACAGGATGTGGACGTGGCAAGCTGCTATAGGTATAGGCGGGATTTCCGGCGAGCGGGGCTTCTTTTAAATTTTAGCAGGGTTTTCCAATGGCTGGCTAGGTGCCAAGTGCGGAGTTTAGTGTCGAGTGCAGATCCTAGTGCTGAGTGCAGAGGGGATTTCCAACGGCGGGCTTGGTGCCGAATGCAGAGTCTAGTGTTGAGTGCAGAGGTGGGCATGGAGTAGCTAGATGCTGAGTGCAGATTCTGGTGACGTAATTTTCAGGCATAGAGAGGGATGGGTGTGTCCGAGCTCCCAGCGAGGCAACTGGCCTTACACTTATGAGATGTAATTACAAGACAATTCTATTTTTGTTTTCTATTGTTCTTTGAAATGTACTCTGAACAGCCAGTTCTTCTCTTGTACGGGTTAAAAACTTGAGTGGGCTCCATGACTTTTACAGTTACTCTAAGCTTAAAAAACAAATCCTATTTCAAGCTGCAAAACATTCTCAATTCAACAATTAAAATGGGAGGTTTGTTACTTCAAAACTAAATTTGATTTAACATTGAAGATATCTCAGTCCTCGCCTCTGTGTAGTTCTTCAGTACTTGGGAAGTACATAGGTAGGGATGGAGTTTAGTAGACTTATTCTCTTTCCCCATAGACTCCTCTATATCTTTCTCTGTCTAACATCTGACCCTTCCCTATTTAGAGAGCAGAGATGTAAAGAAGAAAAAGGCCAGATAAAGGTTTCTACTTTTCTGATACTGTCATGAGCTCGTTTATCCTTTCTCTGTACGTACCAGATATTTAAAGTTGAATCATATTTTGTGGGCTGTCTTCTTCTGAGGCTTCCACTCATATTTCAAGAATCTCTTACATGCAGTTTCCTTGATAGAGTGATAATTTTGCTTGTGGTTTGAAGTTTCCTTCTCTTTCTGCAATCTGTGGGCATCAAGAAATAAGTCTTGTATTTTTCTGCTGAAGTCAATTAACACATTTAAATGACCTCCCCTTTAATGAAATCAAAGATAAGCCCATAATTTCTTTCTGTGGTTTGTTGCTGAATTCTAGTCCATGGAAATCATCCGTATATCCATTCAACTTATTATTTTCTGGAATTTTATTACTTTAAAAAATGTAGTCCTCTCTGTGGCCATAGATTTCTTCGTTCAATCTCTTGTCCTTCAGATTTTTATATAAATCAAATACCAGATCTCTGGATTCCCCAAACATCACAGGTCTCAGAATGTTTTCTTAGAATTCTGTTTCTTGGGATAATCGTGAGAATGAGGAATCTCCCACTCCTCACTCCAGAGGAAGGTGAGATTCACGGAAAAGCTCTTGCCAATGGATTTATTTTTAAAATCCTTCCTTCCACTCAATCTCTGACTCCTGATCCTTTTGAAATATTGGTGTTAGTGGAAGATTTAGTAATTTGTGGGGGGGGGTTAAAAATTTTGCATTACACTGTGATATATCACTTTGGAATATAGTAGCTATTTTTTACTTGGTCTTTCATGGGAAAGTTCATTTATCAGGCTGTTATATTTCCATATTTTTTGTCATTACCACAATCTGCAACTTGCCTTGCTCCTCCCTTTTTATGGAATAGGCAATTCCTTTACTTATTTATTTGGAGAAAGTGGAGTGCATTTCTGTTATGGTTTAATTTCACTTTTTCCTTGTTGAAACTCTTCTCACAATCCACTGCGACATTTGCTGAAATCCTCTGTAAGCCATGTTTCCTAGCTTATACCTGGTTTTACGTATAACTCAAGTCACCTTCCTACCTCTTACATCTGAGTCAAAACGTGATGGCGTACGGGAAAGGACACAGTGAGATGGCATATGTGTCAAAGCCTAATGCCATATGAGAAAGGAGGGCAGAGAGAGATCAGAGATGTTCTCCTTGTCTTTTCCTTCTAATTGGGCAAAGCCTTTAGTCTTCAAGGTTTTTAATCATAATTTTTTTTTACTGTTTTAACAACTAAATTAATATTTTGTCAACTAAATTATAAGTTAATGTTTTGTCTTTCTCTTCCACATAGTTAAAATTGATAGAATTTCTTCATCTGGTTTATCTCTCTATTTGTGCCACAATTAGCAGTTTGGGGCAGTGTTAGAAGCCTGTCTCATTCAAACAGAAGGAAAACCTTTCATTGATGATCTGCCCAAACTGGGAGAGCACTTAGAACAGAAGCAAAGAGCAGACAGCTGAGACCCCTGTCCCAGGATGGGCATATAATTTTTTTCTAACTTAGTGTTGTCCAAGCCAGCCATGTTATATAAATCCATTTTGTATTGGTATAAAGGAATGCCCGAGTCTGAGTAACTCATAAAGAAAGGAGGTTCATTTGGCTCGTGGTTCTACAGGCTTTACAAGAATGGCAGCAGTATCTGCTTAGCTTCTGGTAAGACCTTTGAAAGTTTTACTCATGGAGGAAGGTGAAGAGGGGAGCAAGGGTATCATATGGCTTAAGAGGAAACAAGAGAGAGAGGAGGGTGGTCCCAGAGTCTTTTATAACAATCAGATCTCATAGTAACTAACTGAGTGAGAACTCACTTGTTACCTTGCAGAGAGCACCAAGACATTAATGAAGGATCTGCACCCATGACCCAAACACTTCCCACTAGGCCCCTGTCTTCAACATTGGAGATCAAGTGTCAACATGGGATTTGGAGAGGTAAGACATCCAAACAATGTCATCAGTTATTTCTGATTCTAATACAATCGCATGGCTTTACTGTCTGAAAAAAATTCACCCATTGTTCTCTTGGGTCCAATTCCATTTGGAATCCTAGATTATGGAGCATAGGTTTTTAAGGCTGCAATTTAAAATAAAGTCTACCTAACTGCCTATTCATTTTGTAGTTAAACTAATAGAGCCTGGGGAGATTGAGGTTTACTCAAGGCCATATTAGAAGTATAAGTCAGTTGTCTCTACTTCCAAGCAACTATTATTTGTATTTCACTTTTTGGACCGCCTTTTATGTTTACCACTACTTCTGTTTGTGCCCACAGTTTTGACTAATTTGACTAATCTTGACACAGATTTTTAATTTCACACTTATCTATGTTCTCTAACCACAATTTTCATTTTCTAGATTTTCTGATCAAAATTCCATGTCACATATTGAACTTTCATACATTTTCCTGTTTGTTAAAATTTGTTCTGAAAACACCCTGACTGCACTTATCCCCAGAATTCATATTAGTGACTCCATATACACAATCACTCTTTTTTCTCTCTCTTTCTCTCCGTCAACAAACAGGTCACTCCCATGGTAGCATGTTGTTTGGGTGAATTGCTTCCTTTTACAGTTCCTTCTACCCATTAGTCTCCTATACACTAGTTCTTGATCCACTTGACCTCATCTGTCACCAGGTCATTTGTACCTTGTTGATTGTTTAGTAGGCAAATCATAAGAGATTTTGAAAAGTAATAGACTGTGTTAATAAATTATTCACAAGAATGGGCTTGCCAGAGAAAAGACAGAGGGCCAAGTTAAATTTGCATTTCAGATAACATACTAAAAAATTATCTACCATTTATCTGAAATGCAAATTGGACTGGGCATCCTGTATTTTTATTTGCTAAACCTGTCATTCCTACAGAGAACTATTTATTAAGAATTTTTTATTTCAATTCAATCATTGTATATAATTTTCTTTCATTCTTTTCTAAACGCTATTGGATTCAACCTGTATCCTATTAGATTAGTTCCTGTCAATTTTCATGTTTCTGTTTAGGTGTTTACTATTGCATAAATACCTCCAAGGGCTTTGGCTATAGTAAATATAACTTGACTATTGATCTGACATAATTTCTTTGAGTAAATCCTCTCCTATTTGTTTATGGCCTAGCATAGAATTTGTTATTTAAGCTCTTGCTATTGTTCTGTCATTCATCCCTTTATCACATAGGGTTCCAACAGGAAAAAAGAATAAAGTTATTAAGTGAAGATAATTTTCATGAGTACACTTTTCACCGAAGTGTGAAAAGGGGTAAGAGACCCAGGGACTAGCAGTGACTAACAGCTGGTATGCCTGAAGGGGACAGAGTAGCCAGAATGCAAGGAGAGCTATAGCTCTGGAAGAGAAGCTACCCAAAGGGAATAATACTAAAGGATGAAGGAAGTATCTTTTGCCTCAACTATGGCCTGGTATTGAGGAAGTGGGAGATCAGTTACCCCAGTCTCTCTCTCCTGCCCTCAGGACAATGACCTCTCCTCTTCTTCAGTTCCATCTGGAGGCTGGAAGGTAGGGAGCCCAGGTGATCAAGTTAAAGGAGGTCCTCATGAAAAGAGTGGAAAATGAATCTGAAGAGCAACTGACTCGAAACTTCAAGGAAAGAGGGAAACATATTTGAATATTTAAATCTATCAGTAACAGGTCATAGGAAAACATTTATATTAAAAAAAAAATCTAATCCAGATATGAAATGAATAATGCGTTTACTGTTGAATGAGTGAGTTATTGAGGCATTTCAGTTAGACCTTTAACATGAGTAGATTTTTGTTCATGAATGTAGATAGGGATTGAGGAACTTGCTATCTTTTAAAGATATTTTAAATGATAATCATATTCTGTAAGGGAGGCATAAAAATAAGCAGCTTTTAATATTGTTGGTAGGAATGTAGTTTAATAGCATCAGTCCCCAGCCTTTATGGCACCAGGATCCAGTTTTTGTGGAAGACATTTTTCCATGATCAGGGGGGCATTGGAGGGATGGTTTCGGGACAAAACTGCGTCACCTCAGATCATCAGGCATTAGATTCTCAAAGGGAGCAGGCTGCCTAGATCCCTTTCACGCACAGTTCATAATAGGGTTCGTGCTCCTATGAGAATCTAATGCCCTCTCTGATCTGACTGGTGGTAAAGCTCAGGCGGTAATGCTCACTGGCTGGCCGCTCACCTCCTGCTGTGCAGCTGGGTTCCTAACAGGCCATGGATCAGTACAGGTCTGTGGCCTGGGAGTTGGGGATTCCTGTTTTACAGAACCTTTTTAGAAAATAATTTTCAACTTTGTAACAAAAATTTTAACTTGTCTAGACCTGTATTCTGAAAGTTAACATATAGGAATTTATTCCAAGAAAATTGCCAAAAGATTGCATATGGTTCATATAAAGATTGTATATATGAAACTATTCACTCGTGGTTGCACAACTTCGAAGCAACTTAGATACAATAATCATTTAAATAAATAAGTTATAGTACATCTATAGAATATTATGCTATGAAAATGCTTTTTTAAAATCACAGATATACACTATACATTTTTAATTGAAAATAATTATGAATTACTGTAGAATATAATATACAGACCCACTTTTGTTAGAAAAATTCCTGCATGTACATAAACCAAAAAAAAGAAAAACAATGATTAGAAAAATAGTTTGCTAGCAAATATCTCTGAGTGGTGAGATAATAGATAGCTCTTATGTTCTTATTTATATAACACTTTTTTAAAAAATTCAAGTTGATTGTATTATAATAAATTCATCTATTTTAGGTGTATACTTAATGAGCTCTGACTAATGTGTACTATTGTGTATCCAACATAACAATTGAGATATAGGACATTTCCAGCATCCCAATAAACTTCCTACGTGCCTTTGGTAGTTAATTCCCTCTCCTCACCCCAAATCCCTGGAAACTCCTGATCAGATTTCTGTTCCTATAGTTTACCTTTTTTTGAATGACACATAAATGAAATCATAGAGTCTTTTGCCTTTTGCATTTGGTTTCTTTTACTTTGTATAATGCTTTTTTTTTTTGAGAGTCACTTACGTTTTTGCATTTATAAGTAGTAGATCCTCTTTTATTGCTGAATAGTACTCCATTGTAGAGCTGTGTCACAATTTGTTTATCCATTTACTAGTGGATGAGCATTTGGGTTGTTCCCACTGTGGGGTTATTATGAATAAAGCTACTATAAACACTCATGTACAGGTTTCTGCATAAGCAAATGATTTCATTTCTCTTGGGTAAATGTCTAACAGCAGAAGGCCTGGATCATATGGTAAGTATAGATTTAATTTTACTTACCAAACTGTTGAATTCTTTTCAAGGAAAACGGTACCATTTTGAACTCCCATCGTCAATATATGAGTGTTACAGTTTATTTCTATGAAGCAATAAAGTGTATTTTATTTTTAAACTTTGGAATATCAGGTTAAGTATGAACATACAAAAGGCATTAGTATGTGTAGTTTTGATATGCTAAAATAAAATAATAGCTCTATAAATTATTAAGACAGTATCAGGCATATTTTACATTTTAAATTAATAATAATTGTTATACTAGTGATTGCTGCTCACCAATCTGTAATAGCTTATGTCTGATACTCAGTTCACAATTATATTAAGGAAACACTTAGAAACATATCTTCTTGTAGATACTAAACGTCATAAAAAGCTTTTCTCCTGTGTCTGTTTCTTACTCAGGATTTAATGTCTTTCTGCTTACACGACTCCTCAGTTGTTGATTTCTGTCTCCCTAGCTCTGTTTCTATCAGCATCAGAGAGCAGAGGTAATAAAGCTCAGGAATACTTTCCTCTTACCGGTTTGTTTCTTCTTTCCAAACTTTTACTATAACAGTCCTCACTGCCTCATTGCCATCTGCTTTGCTTCCATTTCCTATTTCAAATTATTTTGTTCTTTTGTTAATCAGTTCTCACAGAAATGATACAAAATTCTCGAAGACCAAAAATGGATTTGTATCCTAGGATGCTATGTGGATGAAATTACAGTTAAATATTATTCTACTTTCTTATGCCTTACCAGGGTGTATTTCAATATCAAAGGAGAAAGATGTAGATAAATTGTGCAAGACTGATTTGTTTTATTCTCATTACTTTATTCATTTGAGGATTTTGATTTCCTCTCTATACTGTTGTCACAAAATTAATTGTTGATTTGTTTATCATATATTTCATAAAAAGGCATGCTGAGTTTTGTTTGTTTCTTTGGTTTTTTTTTTTTTTTTTTTTTTTTTTTTTTTTAGAGAACTATGTCGCAATTACTTCAACATGAAATGGTTTCAACTCACAGATCTGTGGCTTATTCTATCATTTACTAAATGTTGCTTTGAAATTAATCATGATCATTTCAAGGCGACTTTGAAAGGTCATCCCATCCATACCTCTGCCTCCAGTCAGTAGGTCACTTCTAATTATTGGGGGCAATGTGGCAACAATAATTTTTAGGGACAGATAAAACTATCACATATAACCTGTAATTTGCCCTCTAATCATCAAGTGAGCTCTAGTTGTATAAATTACTTTTACTGAGTTCAGTATACATTTTATTAGTGCTGTTCCCTTCTATTGCATAGAATGCATATGGCTAGCCTATTAAGTAAAATCGCTTATAGATGTAGATTTTTTATGACTTTTTAAATGTTAATGTATGGCTGTTAAATGTTAAAGTGGTAAAGAGCTTCTAGGAGTTCATATGTACTAAATTTCATTTTTCAGCCCTCAGCATTTAAAGAAAGAACTCATATTTGTCAAGCTAAGATTTTTATAAACTTGCAGCTTTTAATATATAATTGTATAAAAGAAATTAGCGCACTTAGAAAATATATCAATTAATTTTAAAATTGCCGCTGCCACAAAACATCAAGCATCCTCTTGCTGGTAGATTATGGAAGAAAAATATTATGAAATATAAGAACTCTGAATTTTAGCTATTGCCCCAAACTAAAAATATAGCTTTCTAGGTCATTGTGCCAGATCTATGTTCATCTGTGTAAGGCAGCTTACAATTCTATTTACATTAAATATTTTTTGTTGATAAATACATGAATTCTTTTCTGAGTACTCTTGTTCCCTACAAGTCTATATCACTCATGACACAACAGTATAATCATAGAATGAACAAAATTGGAGCTGAGAACAATTTTTATATTAAATCTCATGGTCTTCATTGAAGGGTTGTCAATATATTTAACTGTAAATGCTTCTTAAAAATACAGATGTCTGACCAACATGGAGAAACCCCATCTCTACTAAAAATACAAAATTAGCCAGGCATGGTGGTACATGCCTTTAATCCCAGCTACTTGGGAGGCTGAGGCAGGAGAATCACTTTAACCCAGGAGGCAGATGTTGAGGTGAATCAAGATTGTGCCATTGCACTCCAGCTTGGGCAACACAAGCAAAACTCTGTCTCAAAAAAAAAGAAAAAAATATATATATATGTATGTGTATATACATACATACATACACATGTCTGAATCCAAACTATTGATTTTTATTCTTGAGAGCTGAGCTGAGACCTAGGTATGTGTACTTTTTAAGTGACCCAAAAAATCCTGATATGTCTCCTTCATTCAGCATCTTTTTATCTTTCTAATTTATAATGTATAAATAAGAAAACCATTACTCAAATTTTAAAAGATTAACTCAGTGTTAGAGAGCTACTGAGAAATATAACTAAAATCAAATGTATTTTGAGTCCCTATTTATCCGTGCTGTAAAGGGAAGGTAGAACAACCTCCAATCAAGGCCATATTAACAGGGCAGCAGGACAAGGAGCATCAGCTTTTTCTCCATGCACGGCTTTTTCTAGGCAGTGATGCTAATGCATAGAACAGGCAAGATAACACTGAAGTGTAATTACATAATTCGTTACTCCATTTCTTTGCTTTGGTACCATAACATACCGCATACTGGTGACTTAACAGTAATTTATTGACTCACAGTTCTACAGGCTAGGAATCTGAGATCAACATCTCATCACTGTTGGTTCCTTCTGATGACTGTAAAGGAGAGTCTGTTTCATGCCTCTCATATCTTATGGTAGTTTACTGACAATCATCAGTGTTCTTTGGCTTGTAGGTGCTTCACCCTGATTTCTGCCTTCATGTTCACAGAGACTGTGTGCATGTCTGTCTCTGTGTCCAAATTTCTTCTATTTACAAGGACACCAGTTATGTTGATGTTGGGCCCACGCTAATGACCTCATTTATCTTAATTAAATCCTTATTTCCAAAGGTTACATTCTGAGATCTTGAAGGTTGAGGCTTCAACATATTTTGCAAGGGAGACAACTCAATTCATAACGATTTTCTACACACAGGCCATGGGAGAACTAGCAGTTTAGCAAACCCAGAAATTCCCCTAAATATAGCTTCCCCTTTGTAGCACATTCAAATTTGACTTCATGATATCATCCAATCTCCAAGGCACATAGCCTCCCAAACTTCACCTCAGTCCTTCCTCAAAAGAGAGGCTAAAATCCTGTCGCCTCTCTTCTACTTACCCTGTTTTATTATTAAAGTCATGCATCTCTTAGCAAGGAGATACATTCTAAAAAATGTGTCACTGGGTGATTGTCATTGTGTGGACATCGTAGAATCAGAGTATACTTGCACAAACCTAGATAGAATAGCTTACTACACATCTAGGCTATAAGGTATAGCCTATGGCCTCTATGCTAAAAACCTGTACAGCATATTACTGCATTGAATACTGTAACACAATGGTAAATATTTGTGTATCTAAATATATTTGTATGTCTAAATATATATAAACTTAGAAGAGGCATACTAAAAATATGGTATTATAAACTTAGTGGATCACTATTGTATTGTAGTCTGTTGTTGACCAAAATGTCATTATGCAGTACATGACTATATTAGTACTATTTAGGTTATCTGAGTCTTCTACTATATTATAATTTTATAGTGTTTATAGTATGCAACGTTACTTTTTGGAATACATATATAGTAAAATGTTGCTGCAGTGAAGCAAATTAACATATCCATTTCACATACTTCCCCATTTTTTGTTGTTGTTGTTGGTTTTTTTTTGTGGCAAAGGAAGCTATAATCTACATTTTTTTAGCATGAATCTCATGTGTGGTACAATTGTATTACCTATAGTCCTCATGTTGTTCCTTATATCTCGAGATTTGTTCATCCTACTACTTGGCATTCTTTGGATTACAGATCCCAATTTTCTCCCCACCTCCCCACTGCCCCTAGTAACTCTAGTAACTACTCTTTTGTTCCCCCTCTGTCTCTATATGTTATATTTGGAATTTTTTTTTAGATTCCACACATAAGTAACATCATGCAATGCAGTCAGTCCTCCCTGTCTGGAGGTTTTGCATCCATGGATTCAACCAAACATGGATTGGAAATATTTTTTTTTAAAAAGAAAAATAATACAATAATACAAATTAAAAATAACACAATAACACTATTTACATAGCATTTACATTTTCCTCTAAGTAATCTAAAGATGGTTTAAAGCAACTAAGAGGATGTGTAGGTGTTCCAGGAAAATGTTATGCCATTGTAGACAAGACTTGAGTGTCTACAGATTTTGTTGTTTATAAGGAGTCCTGGAACCAGTTCCTTGCAGATACCAAGGGATACAAAAAAACAACTATATTTTTCTTTCTGTGTTTGGTTTATTTCACTTAGCATAATGTTCTTCATGCTCATTTATGTTGTGGCAAATGGCAAGATCTTGTCCCTTTTAGGGTTGAATAATATTCTATTGTATATATGTATATAATTTCTTTATCTATGAATCTGTTGAAAAACACTTGGTTATTTTCCATATTTTGGCTATGTGAATGTCGCTGCAATAAACATGGGAGTAAAGATATTTTTTGAGGTAGTAATTTCATGTTCTCTGTGTAAAATGCCAGGAGAGGGATTGCTGGCTTATATGGTAGTTCCATTTTTAATTTCACTGGAAGCACTCACACCTTTTTATAATGGCTGTACCAATCTATATTCCCACAGTTTACCTGGGTTCCCTGTTCTTCACATTCTCACCAACATGATATCTCATTCTGAAGTCCAATTGCATATATTTTCATTCCACAATATTTTTGATGTTATATTTTATTGAATTTTATATGCTTATAATTTTTCTCTATTATTAAAATGGAATTTCTGTCACTTGTAGCAAAACTAATATACTTCATCATATTGTGACTTTCTTGAAGTAATATTTATATTTGTCATTATTTCATGGCTAAAAATTTTCTTACTGTCTTTAATGGAAAATAAAACTTCATACCTTCTACAAATTTAATTGTACCCAAAGAAGTCCAGAAAATTTAAATTTGCTGACAATTTCATCAGGTTATTTTATGACCTTTTTCTATTTCTACTTCCAATCTAACATGGGAATTTATTACTATTCATAAATGTGGAAATTGTGTCCATTCCAATATGCTTGTTAGATTATTTGTGAGGTTTGTAAGTCATGTGAAAAATACCTTTTTGATTCAAAAAAGAGCTTGACCCAAATAACCACACCCTATACTTAATATTTGCATTTCATACTTAACTTGTATATTATACATTCATGCCTTTTCATTTTTAATATTATGAAATTTTCATCAAAATAACAATATTTCTACTTTATTCTTCTTATAAATAAAATGAATTTAAACACATAAGCTATAAGTTTTAAGCTATTAAACGTCTCTCGTGGGTTTCATTTCTGACTGTGATTATTCAGTGATTTCCTTGGGGGTTAGGTAAGGCTAATTTTACAATTTATGCTTGTAAGCATATTAGGTAAGGCCAGTTTTATGATTTATGCTTAGAAGCATGAAAGTTTTCCTCCTCTTCAGTAAGTCAACTCAGAGTCATGTTCTATAAGGCAG